TATTTATTAAGTTTATTGTTTTATATTTTAAAATCGAAATTTTAGGTGGAAAATAAAGAATGATGTTTTAATTGAAAGTCTTTATTAATAAAAATAAAAGAAAAATTATTTAAGAATGCTTATCTTAATAACAAATATTAACTTTTTTATTATTTTTATATTTATTATTATAATTTGATGATAAGAATAATTAATTTTCTTAAAAAGAAGCATATCAAGATTGAAAAAATGCAAATTTATAATGAAAGAATTATTCATGAAATTTTAGAATTGATGGGATAATTTGAAAATTGCAATCATGAATAAATTGCCTTTGATAATTAATTGAAAAGATAAATTTTTATATTCTATTAATACATACTCAAAACACTTTATCTTTTTTTTAGTTGTTAATATATGATAATTCCTAAACTCTTGGATTGACTGAGAACCAAAAATGATGTATATTTTTCTTCTTTCTTTCTTAATATTAGAAATATTATCTTGTAAGAATTTTTTTCATTCTAAAAAAATATAAATGATTGTACTCAAAGATAAAGTAAACAGATTAAAGGAATAATCCTGTTGCTGTAATTTTGACTAATAATGGAACATCACTTTCTGGCCATGTATTCCATACCATATAAGGTACTAAAGAACCTCTGAATATGATATATAAAGCTAAATATAAAATAGAGATACCAAAGTATGTCCATTCACATACTTGATAAAGTTTAGTATGTCGTAATCCAATTTATCTGAAGATAACTCTCATATGCATAGGAAAGTTGGATACTTCTGCTGACATTAATCCCCCTTAGAATATGAGATAAGATTTTACAAATAGAAGATGGTGCTCCAAATTTAGAGATGGTAGCTACAGCATATCCACAGATGGCTAAAGAATGATGAGATACTAATGACATATCAGCTAGGTCATAATATAGACAGGCAAGGAAATCATAGATAAAGTATGACGCACTAATTATCATAGTGAATTGCATGGTCTAAGAATTAGGTGCACCAAAACTTGGTTATTCAACTGTAAATGCAAATCTCATTTACCCAATACAATATAAGCAGCTGCCCAAAATGTTAAACATCCATGAATGATTGACACTATTCTGTTTTTAACATCATCTTAAACTTTCTTTGGCTGATTCTTTTAATGGACTTTCTAATTGACAATTGCAAATATTGATGTCCAAATAAAGAATGAATAACTCAATACTTTAACTTGATCTGAAGTGCTATTTACTAAATCTATGTTTTCAAGATTTAACATATTTTTATTTATGAATCAAAGAGATGTGAATCGTTTTTATAATAATGAAATTGATTCTTATTATCGCTTATATTCTATAGATATCATGTTCCAAAGCCCTTGATTTTAAAGTAATGCTTTCTCAGATGGATCAACATCATCTAGGTCAAACGTTTTTAAATGCTTTATAGATAGGTTTAACAGCAGGATCTCCCGTCCATGAGATTCAAAGTTATCTCAATAACATTAGGTATCTTAATATATTCAATATAGATTCATGTTATAATAAGAACAAAAAGATTCAGATATCTTTATATAGAGTACTTAACTTAAGTGTCAGAGATTATTACATGACTTTTCCACCAATTATGCCTATCATAGTAGTTAATTACTAGCGAATTAAAAGATTGTGTAGGTATACACTTCGTTGCATTTAAGGAAAACACAGAAAACCTCTAGAGAGCATTAAATAAAATTGCAGAAGTTAGTGTAGAGATTGAATAAAATATACTCAAAACTAACGCTGGTTAAAGTGAAAGAGATCTACAATATATTGAATTCTAATCTACACTTAAAGATCATAATGAAGCTATTTCAGCTATTGATGAAGCTTATGCACTTATTGAACATTTAGCTAATGGATTATCATTTATTTAACTTAAAGGACGTTTCAATAAAGTTATAAATCGACTCACTTCATAATCTTAAGGAATCACCCATCTTTTTCAACCTATTATTAATATGATGTCTTAATTAGCAAGCAATACAGATGATTCCAAAAAGTTACTTCTGTTGTTAAGTGGATTAAAAGTTCAAATTGTTGAAAACTCTAACTAAAATAAAGATCTTGAACAGGAAGCTTCATTGAATTGGTAAAGTTTCTTAAATGACTTAATCAATGAAAAAAATACACTTTCTGATTAAAGATAAAATTTAGAATAAGCCATTCTAAATTATTAGAGTATTATTCAAGAATCTTCAGAAAAATCATAATATCATTAAATTGAATTTATGAAAAATAAAGTATGAAATTTTATAATTAGGAAAATGTTGAAAATCAAGACATTTGGTGTAGATAACAATAAGATCTCTATTCTATAGATTCCTAATCAAGGAATGAAGCCTTATAATTAATTTCTAATATAGTAGATCATATCTAAGACAAAATTGTGACCTTAAAAGAATATTTAAGAGAAAGACATCAAATTAAATGATTAATTTAATATTAAATATTGAAAATCTATAATATTAAATATTCATTATCTAAATTCAACTATGACTAAATGTTAATACTGCAAAAAAAATATCGATTCAGAGAAATTAATGTTACATGAGATGTATTGTGAAAGAAATTGTATTAAATGTGATAGATGTGGCAATCTGTATGATTAAAATGATCCAGAATCACATGAAGAAGAATTTCATACATTTTAATAATGTCCAAATTGTAAATTATCATTCTAAGGTTTCTTTATCTATATTAATAATTATTAGATTTAAAAAACCATATTTGTTAAGAAGTACCCATCTTATGTTAATTTTGTTAATTGGAAATTCCAATTCAATCATTCTAATTACATAAAGTTCAATGTGGAAGCAGAACTGAACTTTGTGAATCATGCCATTAATATGTTAAAATGAGTGAATTCTCAAAACATTAATAAATATGTCAAGATAATAAATTTGACAAATTTAGAATAAATGAAAAATCTCATGATTTCCCATCAATCTAAGAAATTAATAAAGTACCATAAGTACCAAAAACTTATGATTCATAAATCAAATAAAAATAAGACTAATCTCAATAAACCAGTGTTAAATTTTAAACACAATAACCTCTAGAATTTCCTGTAAATTTAAATAAACCTGATAAACCTACTGGTTTTCAATCTTATTTGTATGATAATATAGGTGATTAAAAGAAAGAATTTTATACAGATTAAAACTATCGAAATAATTATTCTTTCAATGATCATAATAAAATATTTGCACCAAAATCAATCTCATCTATAAATTAATAACAATAATTTGTTGATTCAAAGTATAATTAACCAATTCAATTTCAGTAAGGATTAAGATTCACTTAAGATACTTAAGAATAAAATAATTATTTTTATTAGGAAGATTAAGCTTAACTTAATAATCGATTTCCATTTAATTAGTAATTGGCTTAAGAGAGTAAATATACATATGAATAAACATATTTAGGAAATTAAAAATCTAATCCAATATATACCTAAAACACAAATAATGTTCAGGAACATTTTAATGATTATGATTAGAATTTAAAATTAATGGATTAGTAATATAATGAATTTAAACCGTAATCTTATCCTCATTATATCCCATAACTACCAGAAAAATTTTAATAGAATTTATAATAATTTAATGAAATTAACAATTATGATATTAAATAATAAGATAGAAATTATCAAAATGAATATTAAAAGCTGACTAAACCTTAATAAGCATAACAATCATAATATGAACATAAATAAAGCAATTTTTTTGACAATCATTCTTAATATTATGATTAACCAATATCTAATGGATTTGAATCATAATAAAAACATTAAAATTTTGACTAATTTAAATAAAATTCCTATGTTTCAAGTATTCCAAATTATTAATAAAGTAAATTAAATGATTTTAAAGAAATTTCAAGTAATTAGATATTTAATAATAATGATCAAGTTCAAAATGATAGTGTAATTGCCGCAAATTTATAGGAATAATTGTTAGTTGAAGATTTATAAATGACAGAATAATAAATTATTGAACAAAAATAACTTTATAAAATGATGGAGGAATAAGTTAAATAATAGAAAAATAGAATAAATTATCCTCGATAAAATTATTAAGAAACAAATTAATATTCATAATTTGTCTAACCGAATGAATTCGATTTTATGACAGACGAGGAGAAATTAATTTAAAGATAGTTATTAGAGAGGATTGAATTACAAAATAAAAGAAAATGATGAATTTTTTAATATTAACAATAATAAATTTAAATTTGTAAAACATGTACCTTGAATTTGATGAGGATTTTTACTAAATTTAGAATTACGTCAAATAAGTTAATTCAAATCTAGTTGTTCTACCTTAGAAAAATGTTGAATCTGAAATTGAACTTTTCGAAAAAATGATTCTACAAATTAAAATATATGGTTCAAAAATAATTGAATTGTATCAATCACTTGATGAAATTTGTCCAACAGATAGATAAATTGAAGCCTTTATCCCATAAGCAAAGATAGAATCAATTGATTATGATTAAGTATGGTTGGCTCTAAATAAGGGATTTGTAAATGATACTTATAAAGCAATGGATTTGATGTAATAATTAGATTACAATATAAAATTGAGTTAAAGTTAATAAGGAAAATTTATAGAATTCTTATAAATTACATGTAGATTTAAAGATAGGGAATTAGAAAAATTAAGTTAATTATTTCCAAATCAATATCCATAATCTTATTTTAAATAGATTGAACATTTAACTGAAATGCTTCATCAATATAGTTAAATGGTACCATTATTGGTTTAAGAAAATGAAAATTTAAGATAGGATATTGAAAATACAAAAAGTTATGATAATGATGGTAAAAGCAATGAAATTAGTCAATTACGTTAACATCTTCAAAATATAGAAAAATAATTGACTGAAACTTAATCAAAAAATGAATATTATTAATAATTGATTAAGGCTGAAGAATAAGTGAGATAAAATAAAACTTAATTATAGATGTTGTAAATTGATAATTAAGATCTAATTTTTAAAAATAATACATTTTAAGAAGAGATTAAAAATTATTAAGATCAAATCAGGACATAAAATGAAAGTTTTGATAGAATGTAGATGGAATATAAAAAGATTATTTAGAAGAAAAATCAATAGATATAGGAACTAGAAGAGAAAAATAATTTAGATTTAAACATTAAAAATACTAATTAAGTAGATATAGATCTAATTTAATAAAAAATTCAATAATTTAAATCTTTGTATGAATAGAAGATAAAACATTTAAATGGGAATATAACTCATTTAGAAAGTGAAAATTTGAAATTAAAAGATTTAGTTAGATCATCTGCATTAGAAGTTGACAATTTAAGATTGTAGATAGAAAAGATTATATAGAGTAATAATAAAAAGACACTAAAATTACCAAAGAAGGGTTAATAAGATTATGTTTAAGTAAGAAATTGATAGTAGCATTTAGTTATATCAAAAATATTAAGAGGTAGTAGAAAAGAATGAATAATTAAGTTAACAATTATATAGTTAGATATTAGATGGTAGTGTATTATCACATATTTGATTTGTGTTTTTTACTTAATTAATATAAATAATTGTAATTCTTAATTTTTGATATGTTGAAAGGTAAAAGAGATTTTAGATAGATTGAGATAATTATAATTTAAAGTTATAAGATTATAATTAATGCTTAATTTATTTAAATACAATAATATATTAATGATTAATGTAATAATCATTAATAATCTTAAATATCACTTTATAGAGGATATCAATTTACTTTTTAATACAGTATTAATTAAAATAAAATTAAATGGGAAATGGATAGTGTTGTTAAAAAGTCGAAAGAGTTGAAACCTTATAATATGATGATGAAACTTCTCATCCTGAGACTTCAAAAAGAGGATCTTTGAAATAAGGAGATTAATAACCATAAATGTTAAGTTAATCAGATTCAGATGAAGAATATCCAAAACGAAAACAACATTAATTTGGAGTTTTAAAAGAACCATAAAAAACATCATAGCTTTCAACTATATAATAGTATTCATTTCAAAGTTTTTCATCAGAGTAACAATTTCAAAATTTTGTTACATTTTAAGCATTGCCATCTTAACATGGGTTAAAGGGAAATGTATTTTAAAATTTTTAAGCAGAAATGAATTAAATCGTTCAATAATAATAAACACAAGCATAAAAAAATTCAAAAAAAGTGTAATTTGCAATATGATCAAGATTCTTAGAATACTTATAATTAATTTAATATAAATCAAAAATCTTTTTCATAGTCAAATGTTTTCCAAGATTGTTTTTCTTATTTTAAGACTTCATGTTATTTAATGAAACTCATAAAAGCTTATGCTTAATTAATTTAGATTCCTTAATTTTATTATGATGATTCATCAATTTCAATTTAATCATCTTTTTCTTAAATATCTTTTCTCTAATATTTTTTATAATGTTAAGAATCATCACTGTTATTTTCATAGTAATCTTCTTCTACTTCTGCATCATCATTACTTGAACTTTCATTATCTGGATATTCATATGCATCTTAATCAGTTCTTTAAGAATCTTCACTATCAATACTTAAATTGTGATCACTATCAATATAATAATTATCAAAATATTTTTCTATTTATTTAGCATCAATGTTCATTAAAGCACTCTTTTTTTCTTGATTAATTTAATTCTTATTAACTTACTTCATTATATAATAATCTTATTCTGATTCTTAACCTTATTAATTTTCACAACATTTTAATTTGTTTTTATCCTATTCTAATTGAATAATTAACTAGATTTAATATTATAATTATCACTTTATTTCTATTTTCTTATAATATTTTATCTCTTATGTCTTTTCTAAATTTATCTACAAATTATTCTCTTCTAACTTATAAAATATTTTTCTATTAAATATCTTCGCAATATTAAGGAACAGAATCTAATTTAAGTTTCTCCAAAACAAACCTTTTTAATTTAATATTATATTAACATCTTTTATGTTTCATCATTGATTGATAAATTTTTAGTTTAATTGATTATATCATCTAGATTTAATTTTTTTTGTTTTCTAGAATTGATGAAATGCATAATTTCTTCTTCATTAGATAAATCTAAAAAACTTAATCATTAAATAGTACAAATATTATCATATGATTAATCTCCTAATTTTCTCTTAATACTGAATATGAATTCTTAATCTTGATTTTATTAAACCTTTTTTTTAACAATAGCCTTAAATTCTTTTCTTTCAAACATCTATATAAAAAAGAGTTAATTTAATATAAATAAAACAATAAGATGAATCATTACTTCATATAGGATCCTGCTCCAAAAATTAAAGCAATAGTGATTTAAAACCATTTGTAATCTCTAAAGAATTTACCACAACTTTCTGGATCATCTAGGTTAGTTGTCTTCAATTTTAAATACATATCTAATTAATTTAATGCTATCAATGGATATACTGCTGGATGATATGATGCTACATAACATGTTAATCCAATTAATCCAGAAAATACCCATGTTAAATATAATGGTGTATTTTTTGGTAAAGTATATGCAGTTGAATATAATCCTAAACTCTTATCATATTCTTTATCTTAATGACCATATACTGTATCATATATTAATGTATTCACAATCCCTGCAGCATATCCAAATAATATTGTTGGAGTTAACATTCCTGCCAATTATAAACCTCCTACTACTATACCCCAATTAAATGCTATTCCCAATATCAATTAAGGATAACTAAAATAACGTTTTGCCAATGGATATAAAAATGCTATTGGAACTATTCCAAATGATGCTGCTATTGTATTCCAATTCAATTATGTTAATACTAATAATCCTATTGAACAATGTCCAAATAAACTAATCCAAGCATCTTTCATACCCAATTCTCCTGAAGCTAATGGTCTTAATCTTGTTCTCTCTACTTTATTATCGATATTCTTATCCCACATATCATTCACTACACAACCTGCTGCTCTCATTGTAAATGATCCAACACCAAATACACTACTATACCAAATTATTTCCTATAAATTAAAACTTGGTTATCCTAAAATCGTTCCCCATACGCAAGGAATATGTAATAATAAAGCCCCTATTGGTTTATCATAACGAGCTAATCTTATATGAGCACTCAAATATTTCCTAAACATCATAATTATTATTCAAATATTTAATATTATTCAATTCATTTATTTAAAATTTCATTTTAGCTAAAAAGTATCAATCATAAGTTTTATTTTAAGACCCATCTTTATGAATGTTTTTGATACATAAGTTTATCAACACATAATTTTTTCATTACTAATATTATTAAGGCATTTTATATCTTTAATTTATCGGAATTATTAAATTTAGTATTAAATTTATCTCTATGAGAAGACTTAGAGAAAGTTTTAGAAAAGAAATCAGTATTTTTAAAAACTTATCTGATGGGTTGTTTTCATTTTGTATTAAAAAATCAAACTTGAAGAAAAAAAGAAAGAGATAAAAAATATAGAATTAAGACCTAATTTTATAAGAAATCAATCTGAACGAAATTTATTTTAAATGAATCTTATAAATGATTAATGGAAATAAATAAACAAAAGTAAAATATTTGTTATGGTTCAATGGAATTTAGTACAATATTAAATTAATTTAGGAACTTTATTATTCTGCTCTTATGTATAAAAATTAAGCACTTAAACTTTTTTTAATGAGATGAAAGTTACAAATATGTAACAACACATACTAGAAATAAATTCTAAAAAATTCTAACACATTTGTTTGGATTGCTTATCAACAAGAGAAAGTGATTTTAAATATGATTTTGAAAATGATTTACACAGGGATATGACACAAAGTTGTATATTTTGAATGACTATTTTAATACTTTTTGCTTAATTTTATCCATGAAAGAATATAAATATATATCAAACTTAAATTTATTTTAAAACCCTCTTTGTAATCAGTTATTTATTTAAAATAATGTCCCAAAAATCAAAAACATTGTTGCACTTATTGCAATAGTAATAACACTATCATGATGATATCAATACATCTTTGGAATCTAATTATAGACATAGTTCAGAACATACAGAAAAGAAATTTGATCTAAAACTTCAAAAATCTGTTGTAGAACTATTTTAATAAATAAAAAGCAGTGTACTAAAAACAGAAGATCAAGTTTAATTATTAATTAATAATTGATAGTTACTATTATGTTAGATAAGAAAGGTAGTACCTCTTGATAAAAAAGAAGATTTATATTCAGATCCGATTTGTTTAATTTGTTATATTGGATGCATATTTACAATTGTTTTACAAAATAAAGTATTCTTAGAATGAGATTAGTTTAATTTAGAATAGCAGATAGAAGATTATAACTAAAGAAACTAAAATGATTATGAAGAATAATTGATTAAATTAGAAGCAGAGATTCGTTAACATATACGAGTATAATACATAAAATAAAAAAGATTGAACAATAATTAAAATTATTTGGTGAGNCAATCATAAGTTTTATTTTAAGACCCATCTTTATGAATGTTTTTGATACATAAGTTTATCAACACATAATTTTTTCATTACTAATATTATTAAGGCATTTTATATCTTTAATTTATCGGAATTATTAAATTTAGTATTAAATTTATCTCTATGAGAAGACTTAGAGAAAGTTTTAGAAAAGAAATCAGTATTTTTAAAAACTTATCTGATGGGTTGTTTTCATTTTGTATTAAAAAATCAAACTTGAAGAAAAAAAGAAAGAGATAAAAAATATAGAATTAAGACCTAATTTTATAAGAAATCAATCTGAACGAAATTTATTTTAAATGAATCTTATAAATGATTAATGGAAATAAATAAACAAAAGTAAAATATTTGTTATGGTTCAATGGAATTTAGTACAATATTAAATTAATTTAGGAACTTTATTATTCTGCTCTTATGTATAAAAATTAAGCACTTAAACTTTTTTTAATGAGATGAAAGTTACAAATATGTAACAACACATACTAGAAATAAATTCTAAAAAATTCTAACACATTTGTTTGGATTGCTTATCAACAAGAGAAAGTGATTTTAAATATGATTTTGAAAATGATTTACACAGGGATATGACACAAAGTTGTATATTTTGAATGACTATTTTAATACTTTTTGCTTAATTTTATCCATGAAAGAATATAAATATATATCAAACTTAAATTTATTTTAAAACCCTCTTTGTAATCAGTTATTTATTTAAAATAATGTCCCAAAAATCAAAAACATTGTTGCACTTATTGCAATAGTAATAACACTATCATGATGATATCAATACATCTTTGGAATCTAATTATAGACATAGTTCAGAACATACAGAAAAGAAATTTGATCTAAAACTTCAAAAATCTGTTGTAGAACTATTTTAATAAATAAAAAGCAGTGTACTAAAAACAGAAGATCAAGTTTAATTATTAATTAATAATTGATAGTTACTATTATGTTAGATAAGAAAGGTAGTACCTCTTGATAAAAAAGAAGATTTATATTCAGATCCGATTTGTTTAATTTGTTATATTGGATGCATATTTACAATTGTTTTACAAAATAAAGTATTCTTAGAATGAGATTAGTTTAATTTAGAATAGCAGATAGAAGATTATAACTAAAGAAACTAAAATGATTATGAAGAATAATTGATTAAATTAGAAGCAGAGATTCGTTAACATATACGAGTATAATACATAAAATAAAAAAGATTGAACAATAATTAAAATTATTTGGTGAGAATACTTAGTCAAAGTTGGAAGATGCATTAAAAATAAAAGAAGATTTAGAGGAAGAGTTATAAACAGTTAAGAATGATCTTTAAGTATCAATTATAGATAATAAGATTCTATATGAAAAAAATAACACATTAAATCAAAAGTTAAAGATACAAGATAAAGCTACATAAAATCTTAAAATAAATTCAAATTTTGATTTAAACTCTTAAAATAACAAGTTTAGCTAACAGTGTAATAAGTCTTCCCAAAGAAAAGACAATATAGAAAATGAATTTCCTAAGCAACAGTCTATTTCAATAAATATTTAAAAAGAAAAACCAAAATATACAGATTAGGAATATGTAAATTAGTTAATAATTAATTAGGGAAATCGATTGTTTACAGAACCATAAGAGGAGTATATTAAAATTAGGAATGGCTCTTAAAAAAGAATTAACTCTATTCATATTTTTAATAATCATAATAAGTCAAGTAATTTAGCTTGTAGAGTGCAAACTGAAACTAATGAATTTTTGGATAAAAAAAGAAAAAATAATTTATCTCATTATGAAACCTCATAAATTGCCATTAAACATCAAAGAAATTAGACATCATAAAATGTTTTAAATTTGATAAGTAAAATATTTAATAATAATTAAGAAGATCAAGAAATCAAACGATAATAATTAACAAAGGGGTGCTCTGAAAAATCTACAATAAATTCTAATAAACCAAATAAGAAGGTTTCTTCATCTTAGCATACTGAAGCAAATAGATCGAATAATTCTGTTCATAGTTTTCGTAAATAAACTCCAGATGTAATGCAAATTCCAAGACCTTTTTCATGTGCAGAATAAATTGAAGAAGGTTAAAATTCAGTAAGTTTTTATATTCTATAAAATAGTTACGCAAAGATTTAAGTGTAGATTTAAATGGGTAATCGAAATTAAATGCGGAATATTTGGAAAATCAAATATAAATAAAGAAACTATTACAATAATATCAAAATAAACATTCTTTAAATGATACTCTGACGAAAAAATTACTATAAGAATACAAAAAAAGATCAGGAATAAATTGTAAGACTATTTATTGATGAATAATTAATATAATATATTTATTATATGAGATGAATATTTGATTATGAATTAAATTAATTGTTAAATAATCCTAATCTAATATATAAAATATTTAAAATATAAAAGATGGCTGATTAAAATCAACGTAGTGCATTGGAAACGAAATACATTAAATTATTAAAGGAAGTTGAGGATAAGGAAAACCATTTGAAAGATTGTAAATAATGAGCTTAATGATTAGTGAGAGTATAAACTTAATAAAAAAAGAGTGATTTATAAAAGTTTGAAAATAATATAAAAAGTTTGAATATAAGAGGATAGGCAGTAGGAGAGATACTAATGAAAATAAATGATGAGAAATGTAATGAAATATAAATATCAATTAATAAAGATATTTCAAAATTGAATAGTGGTCCAAGATATGTAGTAGGTGCTAAACCAAAGCTTGATAGAGAGAAATTAGTAGTAGGAACAAGAATAGCACTTGATTAAGAAACATATACAATAGTTAGAATATTACCAAGAGAGGTAGATCCTTAAGTATTCCATATGGCTAATGAAGATCCAGGAAAAGTTTTATTTGATGAGATAGGAGGTTTAAATGATCAACTTCGTGTATTAAGAGAAGTATGAACAAACATAATATAAAGACAATTGAATTACCAATCACAAATCCTGAGTTATTTAAGAGAGTGGGTGTTAAACCTCCAAAAGGATGTTTAATGTATGGTCCTCCAGGAACAGGAAAGACTTTAATAGCAAGGTAATATATGATAATAAATAAAGAGCTTTAGCTTGTAATGTTTAAGCTAAGTTTTTGAAAATAGTAGCTTCAAGTATTGTAGATAAATACATTGGAGAAAGTGCAAGAGTTATAAGAGAAATGTTTACATATGCTAAAGAGAATCAACCTTGTATTATTTTTATGGATGAAATTGATGCAATTGGAGGACGTAGATTTAGTGATGGAACATCTGCAGATAGAGAAATATAAAGAACACTTATGGAATTATTAAATTAATTAGATGGATTTGATGATTTAGGAAAGGTTAAAGTAGTTATGGCTACTAATAGACCAGATATATTAGATCCAGCATTATTAAGACCTGGAAGATTAGATAGAAGTATCTATAATTCATTCTATTATTATTATAGAGGTCGAAATACCATTACCTAATGAATAAGCTAGATATGATATATTAAAAATTCATTCAAGAAATATTACAACTAAAGGAGAAGTAGATTTTGAATAATTAGCTAAATTATGTGAAGAATTTAATGGAGCAGATTTAAGAAATGTCTGTACTGAAGCAGGTTTATTTTTATTCTATTTTTTAGGTATGTTTGCTATTAGAGCTGATAGAGATTATGTTATTGAAGAAGATTATTTCAAGGCAGGAAGAAAAATTAAAGAAGCCAAAAAATTAGAATCTAAACTAGAGTATCAAAAGGTTTGATTATTAATATATATATTAAAATTTAAATATGTAAACCTCCCTATTTTAGGAAATTGAAGAATTCACTAAATCTTCAAATTGGATTGAAAACTAAGACTCTGCTGGTTCTTCTAATAATGATCTTTTCCTTTTTGGTTATAGTATTTTATTTTGTAAATTCTATTTCTACAGAATCTAAGCTCCTTTTTTCAATAGAAACAGATTCTTCATCCACTGAATAATTTGAAGTTGTTTCTACCATTTTTAATCAAGTTCCAGATAAATATGCAAAGGAGAATGACAACACTTATAATTAGTTCAATATTTCACTACAAACTGTAATATAAATTAAAAATTAGATTACCAATGATAAACGAACTACTTTGATGATTAGAAACATTCCTAATAATTACACTGTAGAAAGACTATAAAATGAATTAGATTTTAAATTTTCTTCAAAATATGATTATCTAAATATACCTTGCGATTTAGAAGGAGGTTTTGCATTTATTAATCTGAAAAACAAAAAATTTCTTCAAGAATTTTTCTTAGCATTCAATAATCGCCCATGGAATTTTAGTAAATAATAAGTTAATCATTTTTAACTATTTTAGAGATGTATATTAAAGTATGCCAAAGTGTAATATAATGAGAATTTATTGAAATACTAAAAAAAAATATGTCCAGATATATATTCGAACTAAAAAAAAGTTATTGATTTGATAAAAAGTCAAAAAAAAGAATTAAGATAATGAACTTCTTTTTTTTTTAATTAAATCATAATGTTAAATATTTTTAATTATGTATTTTTCAGGAATATAGCCAACAGGAAAAATGCATTTAGGGAATTATCTAGGTGCAGTTAGAAATTGGGTTAAATTATAATAACCTGGAAATCAAAATATATATTGCATTGTAGATTTACATGCATTAACTGATAAATTAACAATAGATCATGAAATTAAATTTAATTTAAACACTAAATCAGACACATTATCTCTAGCAGCTACCTTAATTGCATCTGGAATCAATTATAAATAATCAATATTTTTTGTTTAGAGTCATGTTCCAGAACATGCAGAATTATAATGGATTCTATCATGTATTGCACCTTAAAATTGGCTTAATAAAATGACTTAATATAAGGATAAGAAGAAAGAATACTCAACTCTTGGACTTTATACTTATCCATTATTAATGGCAGCTGATATTATACTTTATCAGTAAAAATAATTAATTTTAATTAGGGCTTAATATGTACCAGTTGGTTTAGATTAGAAATAACATATTGAATTAACAAGAGATTATGTTTAAAGATTAAATTCTCTTTTTAAATTAAATATTATTGAACCATAATATTTGGAATGTAATTCAAAATGGATGTTATCATAGCTACATGTCCAAAAATTATGAGTTTAAGAGATGGCAATAAAAAGATGTCTAAATCTGATACTAATGATGGCAATAGAATTAATATAGATGATTCTAAAGAAGAAATCTTTGAAAAAATTAAAAGATCTAAAACTGATTCCATTCCATAAATTTATTTTGATTAAGAATAAAGACCAGAAATTTCTAATCTATTAAGAATATATTAAGCATTTAGTAATATGAGTATGGAACAAATTATAAATAAATATATGACAAAAACAACAGTTGATTTTAAACGAGATTTATCTGAGTTGATTGCTAATGAATTAAATACAATAGCTGAAAAAAAGAAATAAATTCTTGAAAATTAAAGTGAATTAGAATAAATCTTAAAGTAAGGAAGTTTAAAAGCTAGAGAAATTGCTTAACAAAATTTGAAATTGATAAAAACAAATGTAGGATTATTAATTTGAGTTTTTATGTATTAATTACACAAATCATTCATTTTCAAAATCTATAATATATTCTTCGCTTAAGCCACCATATTGAAGAGTTAATTTTTGATTTTCAGATGAAAAAGAACCTGGCCAATATTATGTAGATGAAACTTCTTATGATAAGAGATTCAAATATTTATAGCAAGCAGCTACAAGTTCAGAAGAAAAAAAAGTTCTTGTTTATTATTATAATGGATCTTGGAGCATTGTAGATTTAAATTTTAATAGTTTTGTAGGATTAAAAGAATACTATTTACCAATATTATCAGTTACAAAATCATGTATTCTTGATTTAAAATTCTCATCTCTAATAACTTATAACCTTCTATATATAATTCTATTTTATATTAAAGCTTATTCTTACTTATGATATAGATAATTCCATTTACAAATAACAAATTTACTCCAACGACATAATCCCACTCCATGTAAAGGCAAAGCTTCAAATAAATATACCTAATTTTCATCTAAACGTATTAAAATTCCTATGTGATCAAAATTAGATTATGTTAATGTTCTTTAAATATGACAATTTAAGTCTTTTCCTTAAAACAACAAAATATCTCCATCTTCTGCATCTTCCATTATTTATTATGAAGAAATGCGTTCAAACTAAAATAAACATAAATCATAATTTTATTACTCTCCAAAAACGTTCATATTGACTTAGAGATTTCAAAACCTTCAATGAACCTATAGAATCTTAAAGATGTTATTTTATTAATTAAACCCATGTTTTAGTTTGATCAATAGTTCCCCCTTTGAACTGAAAAACTTTTTAAGTTTAACCTAAAGGCTTTAATCTACATAAGAATAAAAAACACTTACATGAACTCAAATGTATTTCCATTTTTATCCTATAATTCTTATAATTGAAATGACTAAACATCAAAATTTAAAACTCCTTAAAGTTTCTTATTTTCAATATTATAATATCTAAATACTCTATTTCTTAATACACAGTTTCTCTATGAATAGCCTTGAAACCAATGAGGACTTTTTTTCATTAAACTTCCTTCTATCATTCCTAATTTAGGTCTATTCTGAACAATATTTATAATTTCATTTTCGTTTTACTATATTACTTGATCTAATTTCAAAGCTTTGTAATAATAAATTAGAGAGATCTATTCTCCATTTTAAACTTCCATAGCTTCAAATTCATCTGCATCATTCATTTAATTTTGTTTTCTAAATAATTTATCCTCTTCACTTCTTTTTGCTGCACTCTTTAGATTGTTTTCATAATCAGGACCTAAAATTTTACCAGTGCTAGTTATAGAAGAAGTTTGAACAATGCCTAATGGAGAAGGTAGATCAATTGAAGTTTACATTAAATAATTAATGAATTATACATCATCCTTCAAAAAAAACTAGATATTCTGGACTTAAAGATGCTCCTTATAATAATTTTAACTGTTTATCTGTAGTAAAATCATTTGGGTAATATTATGTTGAAGATTTTACTTAATCAAGTAGACCCATTTCTTTATATGCTTTTGCGACTAATTCAGAGCAAAAAAAAGATCTTTTTTTTTCTACTTTCTCTCCATTCGTTGGTTTTTTTATTGTAGATGTGAATTTAAAAAATTTACCAATATTCAAGCTATAATCATTACCCATATTTTCTTCAATAAATTCCATAAAATTATCTTAAACTTTTATATCATTTTTTTTATCAAAGTTTAATTTTCTAATACAAATTTTCTCATAAAATTTATACCAATCTTATTGTTTTAAATAATCTAATTTATAAAATATCATTTAAATACCCCATCTAAATAGTCCAACTCCTGTTGAAACTGCTTCATATACATAAAGTTAACCATCTTATTTACATAAAATTGCGACATGATCAAATTCAGACCTTAGAACTATCCTTGAAGCAGCTGCAAATTTATCCTTTGATTTAAATAAAACTATATCTCCATTATCACATTCTTCTTATACTTAAAGATGAGAAAACTAATAATGCTTCCAAAATTTTGGAGTCTTACTCAAAAATACTATTTGTTTTTTTTTCCCATCTGATTAATCTAAATGTTGTTATATTACTTATGCCCATTCTTATGTTTTCTAAACTTCTTCACTTTTAAATATAAATTGTTTCTCACATCCTTTTGGAATTAATCTAAAAATTACAATCTACATATTTACTTAAATTCTATTATTTAATTATCAGCATTTGTTGTAACTGAATATAGATACTCTTAAAGATCAAAATTTAATGAACCTTCTAAAATATGTTTTTTTTCCCAATTGTAATAAGAAAGCTTTCGATTATTTAAAATACAAAATTTTTTTGAGAATCCCATCAGACAATGCGGACTTTTCTTCAATAATATTCCTTCTAACTACCTAAGTTGTTATCTATTTCCTTAAAAAATACTTGGCTTTATAACTTGTGGAATCACTTGTTGATAATTTTGATTAGGGTTAATATAAATAGTCTATTGCATATTATCTGATTCAACAACAATTTCTTCTGGTTTTATATTTGGATCTGCATTCAAATTATTTTTCATAATGTTCCTATTTATTTAAGAATGCATCATAGCTTGTTGAGCTCTTTAATTACCTTAAAAAATGCTTTTATTCATTTTAATTTAAATAATATATTCTAATAATTATTATTATTATCTCTTTAAAGTTGTCTTATTATGCTTTAATAAAAATACCAATAAAATAACTGAATTCAAAATATAATTCACAATGACTATTTAAGAAATATGATAAACAGGTTTTATTTTAAATTTAGAGACTAAATAAGTTTGATATATATATCATACCATTCTTATCTAGTTTTATCTAGAGAAGAATAATATTTAATAGTGAAATAAAGAAATTTAATAATAAATTATGAGTAAATTATAGTTAAATTAATAATATAATAAATTTCGTTTGTTTAATCTTTAAAAGTAGCGGGTTAGCCGTTCCCCGAGGTCGTGTAAGTCAGGGTCGACTATGCTGGGACCGGGGCAAGCCCCAAGTAAACCCAGCCCCATTTAAAAATTGCAGTGATATCATTCTCCTCGTAGGAGATATCAGATATCACTCTGATAAGAACAGATACTACACTTGATCTTAGCCAAAAGGCCGAGAAGGTATGAAATTTAATTGTATTTTTTATTCCTTTATATATTATTATTAATTTTCATATATTATGGGTTTTTAATTTTTAATTATTAAAATTTATACAAAATTTTAACATATATTTATTTGTCTTAGTTATTTTAAATAAGAAAATAATAAGTTAAATGATGCATTATTTTTTAATCCAATTACAATTCATCAATCAGATCTTCTAATATTATACAAGAAAGCCTAAATAATTTGTAATTATTAATATTTTCATTATTATTAAAAATGTTTAAAAGTTATGGGAAAAAACATATCATTAATAAAATATCAATAGTAAATATAATTTTTATTTCATAAGCAACTTATTTCAAAATATGAAGATAAAAAATTATTTTATTTTTGATTAGAATAGATTGAATACTAATTTATTATCATCTAAATCTCACAAACCTATTTTTATCTTACAGTAACAGCTTTTATATTTGCTTATTGTTGATTACCAGAATTTTGTATTTGAGTTATTTTTACTTTTTAACAATTTATAATATATTTAAAGTATTATTTTTTCAAATCTAGTTGATATAATAATCATAAATAAATTATATTTTTCATCTGAATTAAATAAATGTAAATCATAACTTTTCAGCAACCATCTAATTATCTTTAAACAGAGTCGATAATTTTAAAAAAGTTAAGAAAATTTTTGATTTAATTAGATAGAGTTTAAAATATATGTTTTATAATAAGTTCTTGGAAGTGGAGCTATAAAATATATTCTATATTTTGATAATTTTGATACAGGAATAATAATATTTATATAATCCGTTTTGATGAAACAAGCATTATTGGTGTTAGCAATACTATGTTTAGGTTTTGCTGGTCATAATATTCGTCATCATAAATAGAACACAGCAAACTCATAAAAATCATTAGTTTAGACTTAGGAAATTGAATATATTGATGATGATAAAAGTTTTTAAGAACCTGCTGAAGCTGTTTCAAATGAATCAGAATTAGCAAAAGAAACACAAATAGAATTTTAATAGACTCAATCATAAGAAATATCAGAGCAAATTGAATCTGAAATAAATTTATCAATCTAAGAGTAAGATTAATTAGATTTAGAAGAATAAAGAAAATATGAAGAAGAAAAACAAAAGTAATTATCATCAACAAAGGGTTCTGATGATGACTATTATATGAATGCTTTAAACGTTGAAGTATAAACATAAGATTCATCTGATCAAATGCCTGTTGATGTTGTAGAAAATCAACTAAATCCAGTATTTGAAAAGGATAATATTCCAGATTAAAAAGGAGTTGATTCACCATTTCAACCTGCAGATGGTTCATTAATGATGAATCCTGAAGAATCTGAATATGAAATAAAATAAACCCAATTAATGCCAGATGAAATACCTGCTGAACAGCTATAAGAATATATGGAAAAAATAGAAGCTTAAGAAGCATAAGAAATGGCAATTCTTGCAGCCTAAGGACCAAAATGATTAATATAATAATATAAACAATATGTATTTACCAAAAATAGAATAATCATATTTATTACAATCAATTTATTGTCAATTCTAACCTATTTATTAATACACATATAACTCTATAATCATTTCTAAAAAATACTATTTTTTACCATTTAGTTTATGAAAATATCTAATTCAAATTTTAGTAGAATTAATATAAAAATCAAATAATAATTCCCTCTCTGAGTCTTAAATTGAGGACTTTTTGTTATAATTGAAACATTCTTACTTACATTAAATAATCTACTATAATTACTTTCATTTTTAGAGAGAGGATTTGTTGTAATTTTTAAAATTAATAAAACCTACTATATTCTATATTCTTAATAAGTAGATGATTTATTATAAATTAATAAAGAGATAACATATAATAACGATATTTAATTCTGTTTTAGTTTATATTTTTGCTGTTATTTTAGATCTAGGAAGTTTAAAAACATATTTATAATAAATGGAATTTCTAAATAAATTATTCTTATTAAAGAGATTTGGGGATAATATTTTAAATCATTTTTTAGATCTATGTTAATCAATGATTTCTTAAAGAGCATAATTCTTAATGATATTTTATTGATTAGCTGGCTTTCTGCATGATGGACAATCTTTAGATTTATTCAACCATTATAATAAAGCCTATCTTTCGAATGTATGGCCACAAGTGCTAAGTTATGCTGCATCATTAATTAACTCTAATTTAAACATGATAATCTTTTTTTACCTCCAGTTATTGGACAACAAAGAGTTTCAATGAATTACTCTCCATCAGAAGTAACTTACTAAGCTTGTTGATTAGTTTGAACTTAACTTTAAATCTATGACTAATTATTATCATTTATAGTTTTCATTCCAAAAAATGTTGCAATAGCCCCAATTGCTAATCCACCTAAAGCATACAACCAAGCATTATTATTTGAATTCTTATCAACTTATCCTTATTGGTTAGACTTCTTCATAAATTTACAATAAATTTATTAATAGATATTAATAATTATATTGAAATTCAATGTTATAATTTGTACTTCCATGAACAAATTTAAGATGTAGAAGTATTCTATAGATATGGAAGTTCCTAAGAAGATTCTATATGAATAAAATTATTAAATTTTTTTGTTCTACTAAGATTATATTTCAATTTGCTTTAATAAATAGAAGATGATTTGTAAAATAAGAAAAATGTACAATGTATGGAATATTTTTGATCATAAAATTTTTATAATTTACTATTAATTTAAATGCTTTCTAAAATAATTGTGGCATTTAGTTCTACAGCAAATACTTTTAAGAATAAGTCGAAACTAACAGAATTTTATAAGGCAATTCATCCAGATATGTTGTAAAATGCACCTGACAATGTGAAAATGGAGAATACTAGATCATTAAAGATTCTTAATAATTATTTTGATGCTGTGTCATAGAATGAACGTACAGAACCATAAGAATTGGTGTTTTATATGGCTGAAAAGTAGAATACTAAAGCTAGGAAGTTTTTACCATTTACAATTATATTGGATGCTTATTTAGGAAAAGATTAATAAGGTGCAATCGATAAGTAAACAGATGTAAATTAATTTTAGAGTGACTACTTAAATAAAAGAATAAATAAATTAGAAATATTATGAAATCAGAAAGGAATTTGTAGATAAACATACTAATCCATATGTTACTTACACTAATTAATATGAGAAAGTAAAGAAAAACTTTTTAGATACTACAACATCATTAAAGAAAAGATCAACAACTTAAGATACAGAGTAATTAGCATTAAGAGCATCTATTTTTTCAGCTTAAATGCAATCAGAATACGACAATTTTTTGAAGAATGCTAATTAATAAATGAGACAAGCAAATATGCCTTAAATTAAACCAAGATTATGGGCTAGCATAATGCTTGATAAATGTGAGATGATACCTAATTTATTTCAAATATTTGATTAATTGATAGATCCAAGGTTAATATTTTTTGATTAAGAATTAACAAAAGAATAAAGTGATATATGTATGGATAATAATATATGATTAAAATTAGTTGTTGAAAAAATCATACCAAAAACAAAAAATGTGATAAGTGTTTAAGCATTATCTCCTTTTTTTAAAAGATTAGAAAAGGCTGATCCCTAAATATGTTTATATGTTACAAAAAGATATGGTGCATCAGACATACCTGGATATTTTAGTGTATTAAATATTATATTTAATTAGATTCCATATAATTTTGATGTATAAGAGATTCAACAACAATTTGGAGTTTATTAAAAGTAAATAAAAAAGGAGAGAGAAGAATATGACTAAGAATTGAAGAAGTATCAATAATCTCTATACAATTTGGCAGATCGTTATTTTATAACTAACATTTAAAATGAAGTGGTAAGAATTTATTCATATAATTCAGTTATTAAAAAATACAGAAGTAGTTAGAAAATTAAATATGAGTTTACTGATCTTGCAAAAGTAACTCAATGAAGTGAATACAGAGAGACTTAATAATTTAAGGATGAAATAATGGGTATTGACTGAGAGTGTAAATAAGACAGTAGATAGCATAGATCATTTTTATATCCCTATACCTTTTAGTGGAGTTGTTTGAATTTAAATTTATGAGTGTTTATTTATATGATCTAATATCATTAACTGATTCCCGGTCTTTTCTCATTTATTGAGTCAGCCATTTTAGCTGTTTAAAATGCTCCATTTGCTAATAATGTTAAAATAAATATTACAATCTTTAATGCTATCTAGGAGTGTTTTTGGAATTCGATTGTCAGGACAAGCTCCTTTTGTTTATACTAAACTTTCACTTTGTTATCTTAACCCTTTTTGAATTTGCATCATTCTAAAGACAAACTTTATTTTGCTTTTCAAGAAAACATCTTTATTTTTATGTTATTGATCTCCTACTAATTCTTTGAATTTTGCAATATCATCTTCATCCACTATTTCATCTATAGGTTCACCATCTCTAGGTTGAATTATGTGGAATAACACTTCAGTGACTACAATATTACTATTTAAATAAACCTTTTTCTGCAACGAAAGGAATAGACCATGTAAAAATATCCATAAAATTGGGTAATAGATATGGATGTTAACTATAATTATATTGTTAAATGTTGAGGTCATTATTCTAATATGTAAAAAAATAAATACTTTGAATTTAATAACAGCCCCTTTATTGTTGTAGACATCACAATAATTAGGAGCTGAAAAAATAGTTATTACCATAGGGAAATCTTATCCCCCATCCCATCTATGCATTTTGTAACCTTCCAATTGTGCTTCATGTGCTCTTATAACAGATATTAATTTATTTCTTTCTAAGAATCTGCTGACTGCTTCCATTCCATAGAAGTAAGAACAGCCTCTTACTTCATTAATTCTAAATTATCCTTCACATATTCCATCATCATTGTCTACAGGATCTGCCCAAAGGATGTCACAAAATAGTCCATTTTTAGGTGGTTCCCTATATCTCTCGACTAAATTGATATCAGCGACCTTGTAATGAATTATCTTATACATTTCGTAGTTCTGGAGAAATACCTCCATGAAGTGCTATGAATTAATTATTAATGATGCAAGCCAATGGAAGATTATCGAAGGAATCCATGAAAACATCATACAATTCCTAATCATACTTGTATTTGCATTCATCCATGAAATTGAAGAAAGATGTTAGTTATCTACATTCATGATTGCCTCTAAGCATATAGATAGTTCGCGGATAATTAATTTTAAGAGAGTACAACAAAATTAAGACCTCTATTGAAAAAGGCCCTCTATCAACATAATCACCCAAAAACACATATTTCTATAATTCTGGATTACCACCTACATCAAGAATTTTAAGAAAATCATAAAATTGTCTAACTTATAATTTTCAACATACCCATGAATATCTCCGACTACTGTCAATGGATCTGAGAGATGAATCAAACTGCCCTCATTCTCTTTACTATAATGAACGATTGCTTACTAAAGATTTTGTTTGCCATGGTAACTAATTTTATTACTTCCTTCTTTGCAATTCTTCCCTCTCTTTCTAAATGTTCCTTTATAAGTTTCCAGTCAGGTTTCCCTATTATGAATATGTTTATTTACCTTAATTCTTTGCTGGAAACATCAGATCATTATCTAATGGACGATGAGGTGGTAAAGGTACTTATTTAACAACTCTGTCCTGTGCTGGATCACATAGTGGTTACATATTAATTTTTTATTATCGTTTTTATACAATGAACATATTCATATACTCTCTTTTCATAGTTCTAGTCTTTTGTGGATAAGAGTAAGGTACTTTCCTATAAGAATAAAGTACAACTCCATAAGAGAATAAACTTTATACTATTAAGTTAAAGGAAACTCACACAATTGTATTCAATTTACTATTACAAAAAATAGGTATCAGCTAAGGAAATGTATGATTTTTTAACAACAAAATAAACCTACTTCAGATAATAAACGCCAATTAATGTTTAGGAAATTGAATTTGGAGGTTATGTACCAAAACCACAATAGAATACCGAAAAGAGGTAGGCAGATCTTAAATTACATAATTTCAAGAATACTTAATTTACTGGTCCTATTACTTTAGGTGATCAGGAATTCTAAGTTATTTTCGATACAGGATCTGCTAATTTTTGGATAGATTCAATAAAATGCAAAAATGAAGGATGTAAAGCACATCAACAATATAAGCCAAGTGCTAGATCTAAACATCTTGGTTATGCTTTGAATGTTTAATTCGGCACAGGGGATTTGAATGGAGAAGTGAATTCAGATGTTGTAAAATTAGGAGATATTGAAATTGATGATCAAAATATTGCTGAAATAATTGAAGAAAACGGATCTGTATTCTAAAATGTATTTCTATTATATTATCATTTAAGTCTGGATTTGATGGTATTGTTGGTTTAGCCTACCCTTCTATGGCTGCCTATAACTTAAATCCTTTATTCGATAATATTATGAAATAAAAGAAATTATAATCTAACTAATTTTCATTTTTCATGAGTAACAAGGTTAATAGTTATGAATCATAACTTACATTTGGTGGTTATGATACAACTAAACTTGATGGTCCTGTTCATTATCATCCTGTTATTGATAAATACTATTGGATGATTAAGGCTGAAAATATCCTTGTTAATGGTTAAGATTAAGGATTCTGTCCTAAAGGATGCAGAGTTGTTGCTGATACTGGTACTTCCCTTATTACTGGTCCATATGATGATTTAATGAAACTTTTAGGTATCTTAAATTTAATATTATTCATTTTAGATCTTACCAATATTGATGATAATTGTTCAAATTTGAAATAATTGCCTACCCTTACATTCAAAATTGATGGAGTTAATTATGATCTTGAAGCTAAAGATTATATTATGGAATTGAAAGATGATGGAACTGAAATTCCACTTAGTAATGAAGTTTCTGCTTCTGCCTTTATAGAGGGATCTGCTAAATAATGCATAGGAGCATTTATGCCTTTAGACATTCCAGATCCATAAGGACCAGCATGGATTTTAGGAGATATCTTCCTTACAAAATACTTAAGCATTTATGATAGAGATATGAATATGGTTGGATTTGGAAAAGCTAAACATTGATAAATTAATATTAATCTGTTATAAAATGTAATCATATAATAAAATTTTATTTTTATAAATTTCTCTTCATCCAAATCTGTTTTTATAATAAATATTAAAAATAATACATTTTATATA